TATAAGAGACTAACTTGAATTGTAAACTTCACTGGAACTATAACAATAAAGAAATTGAAGCACAGGAGGTTGACAAATGCAGACCCAGATGGTCATCTACCCTCCTGATGCCCCATAAGACCCTCACTCCCCCACTTCCAGCCTCAAACCCAACAAAGACCCTGAAAATAGCGCTTTATAACTACCAAGGGCTCTGGAAGATTCCGAAAGCTTGGCTGAAATTCCGAAGTCAGCCTGCTTTCTTCTCTCTTCCTGGTGCTCATGAGGCTGGCAAGAAGAACCATGAAATCTGAAGAGTCGTAGCAACACATTTGTTAACGGACAGGCAGAACTCCATTTCCCTCTTCAGATTATTGGTGGTATGATTATAAATAATTATTTTAAATTGTCCCAGTTTTCTTTGTGAAATTTCAAAGCAAATTCTACTCTTGGTACAATCACAAGGAAGCCATTCTAGAAGGTTTCAAGACCCACAGGTTCCAGATCTCCTGAAAACCTCCCCTCTTCAACAACTCTCACCCCCCTGCACCTCCCTGCTTGCAAAGCTCTCATTTATTTTTTCTCACTTGCTCCCTAGTGAGCAGCTTGGACCCAGAAAGGAAAAATGACCCCACAGAGGCCCCAGTAAGCAAGCGAACCAAGGCTTGGACCAACCTCTTCTGATTTTTCCATCAGATCAACCTGCCCCAAGAACTACCAGCCAAGGCCAAGCCCTAGCCCTCTGGCACGTCCCCCTTGTTTGTAGCAAACCAAGAATCTTCCCAGCTCTGCCTTTCATGCAATCACACCAAAAAGCAGTGAGCCCAGACCTCCAAGCACAGGAAACCATTTGGTAAGACACGAGTATTAAAAAAATAAGCTGCATGACATTTATTTTGTCTTGTTAACATTAATATCGGTAGAAACATTTTATTGTCAGTACAAAAATTAACAGGTTTTATTAAATACTTTCTCCAATTTCTGAACACGTAAAATCAGTGTAATCTGCATTCATGTTGCACGGCTACAGCAAGGTGAGTGGGTGTTTCGGAAGCAAAACACAATACTTGGATACAGAACGAACAATATGGCCATGTTTTGCCTGATGTCATCAGTATCTTTTCGAGAGGATCTTTTCGAGCCGTTCTGCCAGAATGAGATACAAGCAATCCCTTAAACGATGGAAAGATCCCCAAAACTATCAGCAGAACAACTCTGAGTTTCAATTTCCAATTGCGAGACTTGAAGATCCCAAAAGGCTTCTCGAAGGACAAAGAGTCTGGAAGCCATTATTCACTGAATACAGGCTAATCTGATTAACATGCAACTTGGGGGCAGAAAACCAGCTGCCAGCAAAGAAGTACATTCTGCTGTCATCTCAACTAAGTGCCGTCCTTGAGGAATGGATTAAGGCATCTTCTTAAGAGGACACTGGTACTATTTGTCCTGGGAAGTACAGTTAGACGTTACATGGGCCCAATGACAGAGCCACACATGGGAACAAAATGCCTTCTCATTAACAGATTCTTTCAGGATGGGCATTTAGCTGGTGTAAGAACAACGACCTGACAGCAGAGTTTCAACTCAAATAAATCCAAACTTCATTTTCCCCCAAATTAGTCAGATACCTTCACTATTTCTCTTTTCAAAGGATCTGGCAATTAGTTAACTAGCCCACGTGTTGCCCGCATAGGAATGCCACTTAAATTACGAAACAAAAAACAAAAACGAACTATAAATGATTAATTGTTTTGTATATTACCAATTCATTAATAAATTAATGTTATACCATTTTCCCTGAAAGCAAAAGTATTTTTTCCACCTCTGCTCGGTGAAAATTAAGAAATTCTGTGTAAGAACAGCATTTTAGCAAATAGTTATTTAAAAAAAGAGACCAATTTTCTAGGTGCATTGGGACATCCATTTAAAATCAATACAAAAAATAATTCATTGTAAATATATAATATATATTTATACATAATTTGAATATATTTACATACATCCAGCACCTATATTGCATTTGTGCTCTATAAGTGTGTGCTGACATATATTTTCTCCAATTATTACAAAATTAACAAGGAAGGCAGAACATGTGTTCGCCTTGAGTCCGACCGGTCCACGGCCAGTGCCCATCTATCGCCTGCTGGCGGCGGGTCAGAGGGGTCACGTGGCGGGCCCGTGGCAGTCCATCGTCCCATAAACATTCTTCTCTTCCTGGTGAAGATTATAAGTTCTCAACTGTATAGCTCTTTACACGTGTGCCGATTACTTTTCCCATTATTTACTCCTCCGATCCATATATACAAGCGGAGACAACAAGCTCCTAGAGACAAAGTCTCCATGCTCAGTGTAGGTAGGTTCCTGGTGGCGTCCTGTGTGTAGACAGGAGGACACCTGCATTCATGTTTTAACACTGCCGTTTATGTGTGGATACTGAGGAAGGCATGGTTCATAAGGCATGGGGTCCGGAGAGAAAACAGAGTCATCTCCTGAAGAACAAGAGCTTCTTGTGTCAGGATAACTAGGTGAATACTGTTCGAGAGGCTGCGTGAGGTCCAAGTAGTCCTGAAAGAAGGGGAGAGAGACGTTTTATTTCATCTCGGGTCAGGATAACAAGGTGAATACGGTTCGAGAGGCTGCGTGAGGTCCAAGTAGTCCTGAAAGAAGGGGAGAGAAGAGTTTTATTTCAAACGCAGGCTCTTGAGATGCTGATATCGGAGTTGGGACAGGACAGGGCTCCCCTTGAAGCTTTATAGAGACTCAGCCCAGGCCAGCTATTCACAGAGACCTCCCCAAACCCCCAACTTTATTTACCCTAGGCGGCAGACCTTCACTTGACTTTTATAACCTATTATAAATAAACTAATGGCAGTAGAGAATAATAAAATCTTGTTGGACTGTCGGTGTTGGGCAGTCATCTCAACTTAAACCAGTTGCTACCGAGTTGACTCCAACTGATGGAAACCCCATGTGTGTCAGAGTAGAGCTGCTTTCCACAGGATCTACAACAGTTGATTTTTTTGGAAGTAGATTGCCAGGCCTTTCTTCCAAGGTGCCTCTGGCTGGACTCAAACCTTCAACCTTTCGGTTAGCAGCCAAGCATGTTAGCCATTTGCACCACCCAGGGTCTCCCCAACTCAACTTACTCCGACCTAGATTGAACCTGCTCTCTATACATACACTTCCTCTAAGAGTACATCATTCAAATTCAAGCCCTAGCAAAAGTCAAAATCATAATGTGTTGTGGATGCCCAGGCCCTCTATAAATACTTGGGACTATGAATTACATTTTACTATTGTAGTTTCTAGGATAATTCAAGGGAAATGCTTCCTTATTCAGTGGGTAATTTAACAGATGTAATTCATTACTCTCAGAAGCTCTCCAATTTGAAAATGCAAACAGGTTCAAAAAGGCTCGGAAATACTCGTGTATGTGGAATCCATAATGGGCTATTAAAGAAAAAGTTGAGGAAAATGGAGGTTAAGTTTCAAAGTTTTGAATGTTTGAAATTCACAAAGTGCTACTCTGCTCTCCAAAGCATCCCTTGGGGTTGCTGTGGGGGACGAGCCCACTGACTGAGGACAGGGCGAGAGATGACAGGGTGGCTTTAGAGGGAGTTGGCAAACCACGGCCCACATGCCAAATCCACCAAATCCAGCCCCACTGCCTGTACCACCCATGAGCCAAGAATGGTTTTTACATTTTTAAATGGTAGAAAAGCATCCAAAGAAGAAGAGCATCTCAGGACATTAAGAGGTATAAAATTACAAAAATTCATACACAGTTACATAAAAGTCAAAGCTCAGGGTCCATAAATAAAGTTTGATTGGAACACACACGCTCATTCATTTACCGTCCCTGGCTGTTTTGTACTACAATGGCAAAGTGGAGCTGGTAGGACAAAGACCGAATGGCCCGCCAAGCTGAAGATATTGGTTCTCTGGCCCTTTACAGACAGAGTGTGCTGACCGCTGCTCCAGAGCTACAAAAAGATTTCTAAGCTGGGGAACTTCGAGATCTCAGTGGCCCAACTGAGCTGGCACGTTGGGGTGGTTCTGCTCACAGGCCCCCAGAAACCAAAGACCATTCTATGACATGTGGTTTTGCTAAGAAGGGGGCAAAAGTACAGACCACAGCACAAAGAGCCTCGGTGTTATCAGAAAAGAGCCCGCGGAATGTTGGCGACCATACATGTTAAAAGACAAAAAAAAAAAAAAAAAAAACCACTGTAATTCATCACCAGGGTTGGCAAGAGACAGAGTCCCTATCCAAGACGGGGGATGTGTCAATTCCAACAACATCAGCATTTGCCCACACGACTGGAAACAAACACGCCCACCACATCAAAAGACAGCTTTTTGCTTACAATGATAAAAATGAAATTTTGTCCTAAATGGAACCATTTTTCCCGAGCATGTGGTAATGATTTTCAGAAGGAAAAGAAACTTCGATTTTTATATCCGTTAGACAATAGGGCATTCTGCACTTTGTATTTCAGGATACTAGATATAAATTTCAGTATGAACAGGCCCACTTGACATGTAAATATATAAATCAACAGCCCTGAACATGGACGTGGGATCATTAAAACGGAACTTTAGCTGTTTTTTTCCCAGTTTCCAAATGAAGCCATAAACTTTCAGATCTGATAGGAAAAAAACAGGGATATCAGTGGATTCCCAGTCTAGGGTTAAAGGAACTTATACCAGAAACAACAATTTTGGCAGGAGAAGAAAGTTTTTTTTTTTCTTTTCCCCTTTCCTGAACTGTTCTTTCAACTTCTGAAGGTCAGCTGTATTGATTTAAATGCAGTCTCCCGCTTTATCCAACACAAACCAGGGTCAGACTCACAAGATAAGCTGCTGGGTTGAGGACTCCCATCACCACATTTATTATTTTTAAAAATCACTCTAAAGTGATTTTCTAAATCAGAAATTAAATGGATTATTTTCCTTCTAGAACCTCTGGGATCATATTTTAACTTTTGTTGTTGTTAAGACAATTTTTTTTTTCCTGTTTGAAGAAATACAGCTCTGCATTTTCATTAAATATCTCAAATTGAATTTTCTCTCTCATGGGGCTTTACTGGACTCGATCGGTTTATTATCTTTCTGCTATGAGCAGACTACCTTTTGTGCCCTTCAGAGGACCACTACCACAATTAGTTGCCACTGAGTTGACTCTGACTCCTGGCAACCCCATGTGTGTCGGAGTAGAACTGTGCTCCACAGGGTTTTCAATGGCTGATTCTTCAGAAGTAGATTACCAGGCCTTTCTTCTGAGGCACCTCTGGGTGGACTTGAACCACCAGCCTTTTGGTTAGCAGTTGAACGTGTTAAACGTTTGCACCAGGCAGGGACTCCCCTTTGGAGCACACTCTTTCCATAACCATCAAGGCATGATGAAGCAGCCACTAAAATGAGTGAATTCAGGCCGGAGTGACAAAGAAGTGTTTCTTCAGTTGGTAAAGACTGCAAATGCCTTATCGTAACAAAAGGTGCACATCTTCACTTAAGAAAACATGTAAGTCATTTGTTATAGGAAACTGTGTGTGTGACTAGGTACACATATAACGAGTCCACAGGCCACACCCCACTACCACCTGGGATCATGTAGGACGGTGCCATGTGCTATGTAAGTTGAACTTACAGCTTGTGGTACCCAGTAAGCTAATCTGTAATGGGGTCTATGCAGTCTTCACACCAACGAGCAGGGTACAGGATCAAACCAGCCATACGCCCCACTCTTCCCCACGCAAACCAAAACGCCACTTCATTCCCCTGCTCCCCACGCTCCCACACACACGCACACCCTGGAGCCGCCATCCCACCCACAGCCCAAAGCCACAGTGAGGTGTAGCCTCGGGCACGTCCTTCTGTCTGGGTTTTGTGAGTCAGAACTGAATGCAGTTCTGAGAAACCAGGGCTTGATGGGAACACACAGATTAACTCTGTCTGACCCCTGAAGGAAAATGATAAACTCCACCACAGACCCCAACAGCAGAGGCTGCGTTTAAAACAGCTGGGCTTATCTGCCAAGCCAGGCAAGGACAGCGGGCTTCCAGAATGAGGTTCTTTCTCACCTCGTTGGTTGTGAGAGTGAGAATTCGATCCAAGTCTTCCACCAACTGCTTGAAGGTCGGTCTCTGTGAGGGCACCGCGTGCCAGCAGTCCCTCATCATCATGTACCTGGAAAACAGCGGTTTCCCTGGTGAACGAACCTCGCAGGTACCGGGTACAAGGCTACAGTCAGGTTTAACAGGCAATAGGGACATATGCCCCAAATGACCAGAATGTACCAGAACTTTCTAAGCAGCGAAGTTAGGAAGTGGTACGCACGTTCCCTAAAGACTCACTGCTAGGTTGATTTAAAGAACATCACTTTACACAAAATGTGTCAGCAATGCACCTACGCCATGAAGAAAGACACGTCTATTGTTGTCCCTGCTGACTTCTGGTCTCTCAGTCACACGGCAACATATCACAATGAGATCAATAAACCCACACCTCAATGTTGGGGGTCATGGGAAGAGTCACGTTTGAGCCGGCTGGCCTCCAGGTCACCACCACCCCCAACCCTGTGTCGACCAAAGCAGCTTCGCCTTCTCTGCCTGACACTTTGGGTCTTGCTTCCAGATTTTAGTTGATGAAGATTCCTCAGTTTAAAAAAATATAAGAATAAAGCCTGAAAACCACAACTTTAAGGTATGGTTCTGATGAATTACTTCACCATCGCCAGGCCGCACAGGAACTTCCTGATTAATCCTGTGATGGGCCTATTTCCCAGGCCTTATCTTCACTATGGATTTCGAAAGACCCTCTATGTTAGAAAAAGCAATAGGAATGGCAAGGAACACAATCGGTGCCTTTATATAACTAACTATAAAATGTGGCCATTCAACCGACGTCTACTGTACACCGAGAAGCACTCACGGGATTATGGATATAAAATCCCCATGAAATGACACACAATAGTCTGCAGTCTTGGGGACAATTGCTCTTCTTAGTTAATCCTGGTGGCGGGGCGGGGTGTGCAGAGAGACTCCTTCTCAAAGCACTGATTTTACTGCATAAGACACACGTCACTAACACAACATAATTTCGCTTGATGTGGGGGTACGCTTTTCTAGAAGCCAGCTAATGGTTTTACAGTCCGATCTGGGGTTCTGAAGATGGCCCCCGGACTAATTTTTAATTCTCTGTGCTAAAATATAGGTAAAATATTAATGACCAGGCACTAGTTCATTCACACAGAGGATAGGTGGTTGATATCAAGCTAGAAGAGAAATTTTCAACAGTCAAAAGGAGGTTCTGGAAACATTCATACTCCACTCTCCATGCCAAGGGCCAAGCACAAACACCAAGGACACGGGTCGTTGGTCCTTTAATCCTACACTCCACAGGGGCAGCCCGATGGCTTTCTAGCTTGTTTTCTGGCCCGTGTATGAGGGACAGCCCCATATATCTTCCTGTCATTCTGAGGAGAGACAGCGGCGCAGACAGCAACACAGGGAGCTACCCGGCTCAGCCTGGAACGCGGGAGCCTCTGACGGGCAGCCTGACTCCTTCTGTGATTTAAAGGCCGGCTCTGTACACCTCAGAATGATGTTACTGCTTTTGGACAAGTAATGGCTGTCAGTGTAGCTATCTATCCCAGTTCTGGGAACAAGCCCAGAAAACCTCAGCCATTCCTCTTCTTCTTAGAGCTTGTTTAGATAGTCAGGCCCTAGAGAGCAGAGATAGAAGGCGTGTCACTAGTGGGGAGACAAGGGTCCTTACAGCTCACTGGTGCAGTTGGCTGGCTTATCCATCCGGTGTCCTTCCTTAAGCAGCTTAAAAAGTTCCTCCACGGGAATCCCTGGGTAGGGCGAACCCCCTAGAGTGAAGATCTCCCACATTAGCACCCCAAAGGACCAGCTGCAAAGAAGAGAAAAAAACACTGTGTTACTAACTGATCCAAATCACAGACCCGGTTAAGAAAACAAACACCCAGTTGCTTCCTACGCTCAAAGACAAACGACTCGAGCCTTCCCGCAATCCATCCTGCACGCCCTTGCGTGCCCCCAGGAGGACCCCCAAACCACGAGGACACAGAGATGTTCCGATGGAATGTTCCATCGGTATTCAAAAAAGCAAATCCCAGCATTACTCTTCCACAAAGGCGTTCATTACCCGCGTCAGGATCTCAACACTCAAGCTTCAAAGGCCTTAGACGCTCCTATCAGATGTCACATCTCCCTGTGCGTCTGACTCAAGGATTGTGAGCTACCCGTGTGGGCGGCTGACAGAGTAAGTCCAGCAAGCTCATTCTGGGAGATAACAGTGTTGTGCCTGGCCGGTGGGGCCTCCAGGCACTAAGGGTTTGGAACTGACTGAGGTCACAAAGGGAGTCAGCAGAGGGCTGGGATGGGGACGGGAGAATCGGTGCCCCCAGGCAGATGAGTTTCACACACCAGAAACTGAAAATGTCTTACTCGGCAACATTCATACTGGTCCTTTCAGAGAGCCACCTGGAACATTCTGAGCCTGGTTCAGGAGATGCACACCCCCGGGATAATCAGGCAGAGAACTCTGAAGGCACCCATGCGCTGCAGTACTGGAAACTTGCACTATTTATTAAAGAGCCCCAGTGGTTCAATGGTTAAGCGCTCGGCTGCTAACTGAGAGGTTAGTGATTTGAACCCACCCAGGGGCTCTGCAGGAGAAAGACCTGGAAATCTGCTCCCATAAAGATTACAGCTGAGGAAACCCAATGGCGCAGTTCTACGCTGTCACATGGGGTCGTTATCAGTCAAAAATTGACTTGACGACACCCAACAACTTTCTGGGGGACTGAGTCAAAGTGTCCCCAGTTTTCTGCAGAGCAAGAGAGGCAGCAGGATACAGGCAGAAACAGCCTCTGTGCCTCAGTTTACTCACTGCAAACACGGGAATCACGATGCCTTCCTCCCTGGGCTGTTGGGAGTACTCACGGGGCTGGCATGGAATCTGTGCCTACTAAATAAAAATGGCTCAACCGATTTTTTTTTCTCCTTTTTTTATTTTTTAATTTTATTGTGTTTTAGGTGAAAGTTTACAGTGCAAATTAGTTTTTCATTCAAAAATTTATACCCAAATTGCTCTGTGACACTGGTTGCAATTCCCACAATGTGTCAGCACTCTCTCCCTTCCCCTTTCCACCCTGGGTTCTCTATGTGCATTGGTCCAGGTTTCCTGTCCCTTCCTGCTTCTCATCTTTGCTTTTGGGCAGGTGTTGCCCATTTGGTCTCGTATACTTGATTGAACTAAGAAACACATTCCTCAGGGGTGTTAGTGTTTGTTTTATAGGGCTGTCTAATCTTTGGCTGAAAGGTGGACTTGGGGAGTGGCTTCAGTTCTGAGTTAGCAGGGTGTCCAGGGGCCATAGTCTTGGAGGTTCTTCCAGTCTCTGTCAGACCAGTAAGTCCGGTCTTTTTTTTTTTGTAAATTTGAATTTTGTTCGGCATTTTTCTCCTGCTCTGTCTGGGATTCTCTATTGTGATCCCCAATTTTTTTTTTTTTAACTTTTTCTATTAAACTTTCTATTTTGCAATAATTACAGACTCACAGGATATTCCCAAAACAATATAGAGAGGTACCATGTACCTTCCGTCCAGCTTTCCCCAACGATAACACCTTGCAACCAAATTTCCAAATCTAAACTTCTAAAGTATCAGTACAGCATAACAGAAATATTATATAATTGCTGCTATATTTCTCTAATGTTACCAAGGATGCTGAGCAAGACCAGAGGGTGAGATACAGCGAGCAGGACCTGTGGAAGTCACCACAGCTAACCATGCCTCACCCACCTCTGCCCTCTAAAGACAAGCCCAGGTGGGGGAATAAAACTAACCACTATCAAGTAGGAAACATTTCAGGATTACTTCTTTAAGGGAGTCAAGAACATGCCAACAGCCTGGTCAATTAGACAGCGGCTTTGGAGCTGCACATCCATGAATGAGCTGGGAGGGAGAGCGGACACTTCCGCTCTGGCCGAAGGAGGTTGGCGGTCCCACCTCCTGTGTGCTTTGAAGCCAGGCAGATTAGCAACAGAGCATTGGCTGCCAGTCTACCATAAAATCTGTCCTTTCTAAGGCTGGCTCCTGCATCTTCTCTAAATGGGTGAGATGCAGCAGGCACCAAGGGCTGAAGAAAGGCCAAGAACGTACAAGATTTTCGCAGCTCAGCCCAGTGAAAAAACCAGAGAAAAGGGGAGTCACTTACACGTCGCTCTGATGGGTGTAGACTCTATCAAAGAGGGCTTCGGGGGCCATCCACTTGACCGGAAGTCGCCCCTGCAAACGTGGAAGAACATGTAAAAGCCAACAGATTTAAAATAAGTTTATTTAGCAGGTGCAACCCCTGTTATTTTAAGAGTTGTCATTCTCACTGTTTTTACTGGTCCTCCAATAGGGCAGAAATAAGCTCCCCGAAACCCGCTGCTGTCAAATGGATTCTAACTCATAGTGATCCTACGGGACAAGGCAGAACTGCCCCATAGAGTTTCCAAGGCTTTAATCTTTACAGAAGCAGACTGCCATGTCTTCCTCCTGCAGAGAAGCTGGTGGGTTTGAACCGCCAACCTTTTGGTTAGCAGCCAAGCGCTTAACCATTGCACCACCAGGGCTCCATTCACTCCTAATTACCCATTGCCGTCAAGTCACTTCCAACTCATAGTGACCTTATAGGACAGAGGAGAATGCTCCATAGGGTTTTCAAGGCTGTAATCTTCACAGAAACAGACTATCACATCTCTCCTGTGGAGCAGCTGGTGGGTTCAAACTGCCAACCTCTCGGTTAGCAGCTGAGTGCTTAACCACTGCGCCACCAGGGCACAGTGTTGTGGCCTGATTATTTTATGAGTTGTCACTCTTCTGGTTTTCACTGGTCCTTCAAGAGAGCAGACATAAGCTCCCAAGGACTACACATAATGAGTGGGGCACACAGATTCGAGCACATTAACGACATGCCATTGCCTCGGTTTCTCACTATTATCTATCTCTGCCGCACACAGACACACCGTGGCCAGCTTCCCAGCAAAAATGAACAGAGTGTAACCCCCAAATTCTCAGTCTTTCCTATTAAAGTCCTCAAAGAAGAGCCTTATGAAAACCATCCAAGTATACAAATACAAGAACGTTTCACCTTTATTAACAGTACCCTAAACACGGCCCCCACCACGCATCTGTCAGATTGTTGTCCTGGGGTGGCTTGTGTGTTGCTGTGATGCTGGAAGCTATGCCACCGGTATTTCAAATACCAGCGGGGTCACCCATGGTGAAAAGGTTTCTGTGGAGCTTCCAGACTAAAACAGACTAGAAAGAAATGCCTGGCGATATCTACTTCCAAAAATTAGCTAATGAAAGCCTTATGGATCACAAGAATATTGTCCGTATAGTGCTGGAAGACAAGCTCCTGGGCTGGAAGGCACCACGCAACATCCACAACAGTGGGCTCAAACACAACGCTGATCATGAAGATGGTGCAGGACTGGGCAGCACTTCACTCTGTTACACATAAGGTCACTGTAAGTCAGAGCCGACTCCAGGGCAACTAATGGCAACACAAAGCCTAAGACTGCTTACTGAGAAGTTGAGAAAGGGTAAAGCAAAAGAACAAAAGTAAAGGGCAGAAGAATGAGTCCTTGTCAGTACCTTCCAGCTCTGAAAACCTATGATCTGTTATCTGGAACACTCGGTCCGTCCCCCGGCCTCCCCAGCATACTCCCGCCATTGACTTACATTTGTGGTCTTTTTGTAGTAGTCTATATTGTTGATATCTCTGGCCAGTCCAAAGTCTGCTATTTTCATCACGTTGTTTTCTGTTACCAAAACATTTCTGGCTGCTAAGTCTCGGTGAATACACTGAAATCAAGAAAGACGAGAGAGAAAGAACGCATTTTAAAATGCTCCATGAACAAATAGGAAATATACTCCTATCTTAGAAAGCAGACAGAAAATGCATCTGAAGTCCAAAATGGGTGTTCCATTTCTAATTAAAAAATACAAAATGGAGGCCCCCATCATTTCGAAGAGCAAAGGCGGACGGAATCACTGCGTTCCCTTTCATCTGCAGAGCGGCCCAACAACGCTGGCGTCTCCCTCAGCTGCATACCCAAACTGCATGAGATCACCCTAAAATCTTTTATCTCAACACTTACTCTCCTCCCCTCAACTGTCGAGGAGTTGGTACAGCTCAGTCATGCCCTCTTCTTCACGTCCCAGCCACTCTTCAAATACTCTAACCTGTTTCCTAGCCCTGCCTCTCTCAGAAAGTTTACAAAACCAACCAGCTGCCGTCAGGTCAATTCCGACTCATGGCAACCCCGTGTGCGTCAGAGTAGAACTGTGCTCCACAGAGTTTTCAATGACTGACTTTTCAGAAGTAGATCACCAGGGCTTTCTTCTGAAGTGCCTCTGGGTGGACTCGAACCTCCAACCTTTCAATTAGCAGCCAAGCGCATTAACCAACTGCACCACACAGGGACGCCGAGGTTTATGAAGAACCTCTTCACTGTCAGACCCCTGCGGTGTCTTCTAAATGCTCATTTTTTCCTTCCTGCAGCTTCTGGGACACTGCTGATTTCTCGATCATTTCTGAAAACCGCCTTTGTGTTAAGTGTTAACTCACCGCCTCCTTTGGCTCACTCTCTTACGCCCCAGGTCTTTTGCTGAGTCCTCTCACTCTCTGTTCCTTAAGAGAGAGGCAGTGTTCCCTCAACTGTCTGTTTCCATATTCTCATGGCTTCAGCTCTTTGAGAAACACAAAACGTGTGCAAGTCCACATCTCCACCCTGGCCTCTCTCCCCAGAGCCATGTTCTCTAGGGGACATTTCCACCTTGATGTCCCCTTGACACCTCAAATTTAAGGTCCCAACTCCCCTAATTCTTTTCTTTGTCTCTCTGAATTGGAGCCCTGGGGTAGTACAAATGGTTAACTGAGAGGTTGACAGTTCAAGTCCACCCAGAGGCACCTCAAAAGAAAGAGCTGGCAACCTACTTCCAAAATATCAGACACTGAAAACCCTATGGAGCACACAGTTCTACTCGGACACACATGCAGTTACCGTAAGACAGAATCAATTGGATGGCAGATGGTTGGTTACTCCCCTAATTCTTCCCTTTGGCTCTTTAATTAGGAAGGTATATACAGCTGGAATTCTCTACTCACTCCTTCCAAGTCCTATTGGTTACAACTCCAAAGTGCCTCTCCAATTTGTCCACCTTGCTCCCCTCCCACTGCTAATTCCACAGTCCAGACCCTCATCACTGCCCAGTTCCCTCCTCACCTCCACAGGTGGCTATATTGCCTGCCTACCAGGTCTCCATGCTCCTGAGCTCAGCCCATTTCATTTTCTACGCTTCCCATGAATTGCATGTCTGAAAGAACTGATGGTGTCCCTTCCCAGCTTACATCGCGGCTAACTGGACTCTGAGTTTGTCCACAATCTCAGTCTAGTCCTGGGGCAGCATGTGGCCCACGCGAAGGCCTCAGCCTCTGTCTGCCCACTCAACATCTGCATGGGGGCTGACGCGCCTGCTATAGGGCAACTGACTTACAGCCCTGCCCCTCGTTCCACGGTCTTGGAAAGGTCAAGTTATTATACCAGCTATTTTTTCTTTTCTACAAATAATAAGATTTTGTAAACTGTTATAAGTGTTTTCATAGTGTTAATACAAGATTTCGTCATGATACATGTTGATTTGGGTCCAAAATGATCAGCCTCTATTTTTGGAAGAGGTAAGATATACAGAAGCAAACAAACATGCCCATGGAACACCTGGACACCAGTTACTGGCAAAGCTTAACTATGATATGGAGGAGAGCGAGCTATCAATCCACCTGGTGAGACTGAAACAGGGCTGGTCTCAGATGGACACCGTGACACAGTCAATTCCAGAAAGGCGCACGTCAAACCATCTCTGCAGTATAAAAGAAATAATTTCATTCCAGCCTCCCACCTCCTGACGATTGCTTCCCTCTGCTTCCATGCCCCTCTGGACTGGCTAAGATAGAAACAGGAAAGAAGGAAACCACACAAACGTGTCCCATTTCTGGCCAGACTGGAAGCGGGAAATGAGGGAACACCTCCCAGAAGCCGGCTGTTCCCCGCGATCCCCGGCAGCCGGATCTGGCCAGGGATGGAGCCCTGTTCCCGCTTTTGGAGGCCTCTTCAGATTGAACTTCCAAGCCCTGGGCCAAGCTCTCCTGGTGGCGTGCTCCCTGCAGACTCCAGCTCTGTGTGTCTGGCAAGCTGTGTGGTCAGGAGGTTCTGGCTTCTCATGAGCTGGGCTCCGACCACACATCAGGGCCCAACAGACACTGTCGACGTCACCTCCACCATCTTCTCGGCCGGAGCCAGATTCCAGAACAAACCCCCTCCTCCCAGGGTGCTAGGAAACACCAGAGCCCACCTCCCGGGCTGAACAAGAAGAGACTTGGAACCAACACCCAAGAAAAAGAAAGCAATTAAAGCCAAGCCAAATTCCCATCATCTGCAGAAATCAGTTGTTCCCCAGCACAGAGAACCGACCATTTGACATAATTAGGGCCCTGGGACTGTTTGCAGTTCCATTTTCCAACTAGCTGAAGGCCCTGGGTCCTAAGGACTAACAGCCCTGTGACCCAGAAATTGTGCTGGGCGCCTTCACACAGGTGATCACATTTAATTCCCGTGGTAACCTTACGAGATGGGTAGTATTGCAACCATTTTACAGATGGGAAAGATGAGGCTTCTTTTAAAAAAAAAAAAACCGTTCAAGGCTAACACCTAGGAGGTTTAACTTTTGGGATTTGGTTAAAAAGAAACTTAGGGCAGTTTTGAGCTAAAAATAGCAAAGCTTTCACAAGTACGTGTGAGGTTCACCTATGCCATCACCTAATTGTGTTACTGTGTGCCTGCCGGGTTTCTTCACTCGTCTGTAGCCCCCACGCACCTGAGAGCAGCTTGTGTGTTTATATCCCCAGCACTTGGCACAGAGCCTGAGTCATACCTGTTTACTGAGCTGAATTCATAATTACACTACATCAGTAATAGCCAGACATCCCACTCAACAGCCCTTTGCCCTTTCCTTCTGGGAGGCAGGTCTGCAACAAGCTCATTGCTACCCATAGTGGGGATCTGGGCGAGGACACATCAGGATTCAAGGGATCTGACGGTTTCCCTGCTTCTTCATTTTCCACTTCCGTGGGCAAGCCTTCCATTTTCAAAAGCAGGCTCCTCCCAAGCAGAGCATTCTTAAGATCATCATCTACTACAGGTTTAAACCTGCTCCAGGTCCTTATTTCCAGGTGGCCTTTGGCAAGGCTTTGAACCAAGAAATGCCCTAAGGACACACCCTTCCATCCCTTTCATCCTGGGCTCTTTTGCAAAGTAGTAGTAATGACCCCACAGGGTTTCCAAGTAGCTGCTGGTGGATTCAAACTGCTGACCTTCTGGTTAGCAGCCTAGCTCGTAACCACTGTACCACCGGGGCTCCCACACTGCGTTAGGCACACACTTATCTCATTGGCCCTCCCCTAACAGAGAGGTAGGGATGACCACGTCCACTTAATAGAAAAAGAAAAAAGAAAAAAACCTGCTCAGGTCTAACACCTGGGGGGGTTAACTGAGTTTGGGATTTGGTTAAAAGGGAAACTTAGTGTAGTTTTGAGCTAAAAATAGCAAAGCTTTCACAAGTCCATGCGAGGCTCACCCGCGCCGTCACCAAATGGCGTCTCTGTGTACATACTGGGGTTTCTTGTCTGCCCCCCCGCCTACATACTTACAGGGGAAACTAAGAGCAGGAGATTGGGCAGCAGTCTGGTGAAGAACCCAGGAGGCCTGTGGGTAGTACCAGCCCCTTCACTCTGTGAACCTGCGTGTCCCCATCTTGGAAATGAGGACAGCGATTCAGACACGCCTTGGCTCCAATCTTTCCTGTCACTTCCTCACAGTCCTCAGCGTCCTTGTCCATGAAACGGGGATTCCAGCCACATCTATTTCAGAGTTGTTCTCAGGGACACGTAAGATACTGAATGTAAAACGCTTGCCACAGTGCCCGGCACTCAAAAAGGGGTACCGTACCGCTGCCGTTGAGGTGATCCCGACTCATAGCGGACAGAGCAGAGCCGCCCCATAGGGTTTTCAACAAGCAGCTGGTGGATCTGAACTGATCTTCTGGTTAGCAGCTAAGCTCTTAACCACTGTGCCACCAGGGCTCCCGAAAAGGGGTAGTGATTAGTAACAATGATAATCACTATTATCACAACACTATCAATAAGGGTACGTCCATTCTGGCATTCTAACGGGACATTTGGCCCATTTCACAGAGTTCACTGGACTCTCAGTTCTCCTTCACTGTACCCAGCGGCTCTATAACAGGGAGGGATCACTGAGTGCCCAGGTCTGGCCGGTGGACAGTGAGACCACCCCAGCCTCCGCATGCCCTGACCACCCAGGTTCCCTGACCACCCGGGATCCCCTGCCCTGACGGCCCGGGATCCCCTGCCCTGACCGCCCGGGTTCCCCTGCCCTGACCGCCCGGGATCCCCACCCCTGACCACCCGGGATCCCCACCCCTGACCGCCCGGGTTCCCCTGCCCTGACCGCCCGGGTTCCCCACCCCTGACCGCCCGGGTTCCCCTGCCCTGACCGACCGGGATCCCCACCCCTGACCGCCCGGGTTCCCCTGCCCTGACCGCCCGGGTTCCCCACCCCTGACCGCCCGGGTTCCCCACCCCTGAGCGCCCAGGATCCCCACCCCTGACCGCCCGGGTTCCCCACCCCTGAGCACCCATGATCCCCTGCCCTGAGCGCCCAGGTTCCCCTGCCCCTGACCGCCCGGGTTCCCCACCCCTGACCGCCCGGGTTCCCCACTATCCCCAACACTGCACCACTGGTTTCCTCCACAGCACCTTTCTCTATTTACCTATTTTTTTACAGCGGTAAAATACATGTGACACTTGCCATTTCAACCACTTTTTCGTGTACAATTCAGTGGCGTTGACCACGTGCACCACGCTGTGCGACCATCGCCATTATCTGTGTCCCAATACACGCCGATTCCTCATTCCCACGTTCACTGTCAGTCTCTCCTACTGTCGCCCCATGGTTCCTACCCCAAGAGGTCAAGGACTATATGTCCATTTGTCCACCTCACCTGAGTGGCTGCCTGCCTGAGGGCACGAGACAGCAGAGGTACTCAGGGAGTATCTGTTCACGGAATGAATAAAACGGCCAAGTTAGCCCTCCGGCTAGCTTTGTATTAGTAGCAGTGCTCTCGGTGCTGCAAACAGTTAACATGCTCGGCTGCTAACCTAAAGGTTGGAGGTTCAAGTCCACCCAGAGGCGCCTCGGAAGAAAGGCCTGGCGATCTACTTCCGAAAGGTCACAGTCACTGGAAACCCTGTGGAGCACAGTTTCACTCTGACACACACGGGGTCGCCATGAGTCAGTCAACGCGCCAGCAACTGGTTAAGCGGTGCTCTCCTGGGTGCAAAACCTCTGTCCCCTCTCCCACACTGGGAGAGCGTGGAGTGGCGGCGACCAGAGGCTCAAATGCGCAGACTTCAGACAGACTGCTCCCAGCTCTTGATTTAGGGACACTCCAAAGCTACAGAAAAGGTGAACTAGGATCCTAGATAGCCGTGTCTGTCAGACTTGCTTTTTCTGCGCTCTCTCTCTTCACACCCACACACCCCATACATACTTTTTAGAGCCGAACCGTTTAACAGTGAGCTGCAGACATCACCAATGATTCACTAAACACGTTAGCACGTGTTTCTCACCGTAGCACCATCCCATTCCCCTAACCCCCAAAGTTAACACTGATACAGTAAGATCATCTAATCTACAGTGCATAATCAAATTGTAATTGTTCATAAATATTTATAAAGGCCGCCCCCCACCACTCAGCCCCATCTAGGACCCCATCCAGGGTCACACGTTACATTCAGTCCCCAGGTTCTCTTTAAACCAAAAAAACCCCATTGCTGTCAAGTCACTTCCGACTCATAGCAACCCTAGAGGACAGAGTAGAACTGCCCCATAGGGTTCCCAAGGCTGTAAATCTGTATAGAAGCAGACTGCCACGTCTTTCTCCCATGGAGCAGCTGGTGGGTTCGAACCGCTGACCTTTCAGTTAGCAGCCAAGTGCTTTAACCACTGCGCCACCAGGCCTCCTCAGGTTCTTTTTAGTCCCCTTTAATCTGGAACAATCTCCCAGTCATCTTTCATCATTCATGACACTGATGTTTGGAAGCAACGTCTTGTGGAACAGCTCATATTCAGGATCTCGTGATAAAGTCTTTCTTGATCGGCAAACCCCACTGCGTACGTGCGCACAGGCACACACAACCACAGAACTCAAAACTGGTTTTTAATTAGCTTCCAAAACCTATAAAGCGGGAGATGTTAGAAGAAAATCTGACGAAGTCTTTCGTTTTGTTTTCCCATCATCGCTATCCATTTCCGGAAGCTTTTCATCATCCCAAACAGAAACTCAGTGTCCCTTCAGCAATAACTGCCTGCTCCCCGCCCTCACCCCTGGGAACCACTAATAATCCTTGGTCTCTATGCATTTGCCTATTCGAGATACTTCATCTAAATGGGATCATACAATATCTGTCCTTTCGTGTGTGACTTATTTCCCTCAGCATAGTGTTTTCAAGGTTCCTTCACACCGCAGCATATATCAGAACTTCATTTCTATTTATAGCTGAATAATATTCCATTGTAAGCATACACCACATAAAAAAAGTCTTAAACTCCGGGCTTTAGGGGAAAAAACAGAACCGAAAATGTGGAGACTCTGGACCCGTTTCTGTGTGGCCACAGATAGCGGGCTGCGGGCAAATCCCTTCTTGATGCGGGATCTGATGCGGCTGCCCCGCTCCTTCTGCCAGGGCCTCTGTGGGAACCTGAGTCTGTGACCCTGTCCCAGATTCAGGCAGCCCCTCCCCCCAGGGCTCTTGCCTCTTCAGGGACCTGAGGAATTCCTGCCCCTGCGTCCAGGGACAGACCAGCTGACCTTGCCTCTGCCCGAGGAGAGAGCTCTGTACCTCCCTCTCCCAGAATGGGGCTGAGGAAGGGCGTCTTTGGTCCTCAACGCCCGGGAGGACATCTGAGCACCTGTCTAACTGCTTTCAGAATACCTCACATGTTTAAAGTTCCACTGCAAGAGGCATGCTTGAAATGCATGTGATTCACCTCAGGGGACCTGGCCGACTTCTAACAGTAGAGGGTCACCCACTGAATCAGACAAACCCGGGCACTCAGGACTCAAAGTTCTGAAATTTTCCTTCACATCATCTTCATTCTTAGAATATCAATGCCATTTCAAACTCAAAGCCCTAAACACAAGACCCAAAGTCTACGTCCAAACACTCAATCACTCAATAGCCACAACACAAAAGACGCCCGAAAACCATCGGAGTTAGAGGGCACGCCACTAAACCAGTGGTTCTCGGCCCTCGGAGAGCCGAGTCCCAGGAGGCCCCCACCCGGCCCTGTTCTCAGGGAAGAGTCGTCTTTTCTGCTCATCTCTGAAGTGTTGCTATAGGTTTACGAGGTTGTCTGGCTTTCAAAGGGTTCACTAAACCCTAACGTGAATAATGCAACAAATATTTTCCAGGTTGTACAAGACACGCAAGGGCTTGTTTCAGTGAATAAGCACATCCAAATTGCCTACGTTCTTCAAAGACATTTTGAGCTGGAATGCACCCAACCAAGTCAAATGTGAAGGACTCACTTTTTGGGAAGCCAAGTACTCCATGCCTCTGGCCAGCTGGTACGTGCACGACACCAAGTCCTTGAAGGTCATCTGTTCCTCGGGAACGCGGTTGATGTCGTAAGAGTACTCCATCCCGGGCGGCCTGCGGGCACGCAGGTACTCCCGGAGGTTGCCCTTCGAGGCGTACTCCACTATGACATACAGCGGCCCTGTTGATGGAGAAGACAGCTCCCTAAGGCAGGGGACCAACCCAGGATCTGCCCACGGGCAGCTCAGCAAGTGGTTCTTAGTAATTACAATCCAGTACTCTGCTTCTTTCTTCTAAACATTTAACACGCAGAGAAGCGCACAAACTTAGAACACTCACATTCTAATCTCCCCAAATGGTAATCACCACTCATCATGACAGCCTCAAAAGTCTTCAAACAACAAAGCAAAGATACAGATGGTGGCTCTTTCACCATCATTCCCATTTTCTCACCAGTACCCTCCTCAAAAGCAGCCACCATCATAAATTGGATCCCACCAGAATATCCTTCCAATTCATTTTAAATATTTTTACATCCATGCATGTATTATTTTTAATCACATAAATGAATCATAGAGATATAGCTCTGTAACACCTCTTGCCCACCTAGTATCCTTGTAGAACTCAGTTAGGTTGAGAAAATAAATCTAGATCATTCCATCATATAAATACACCATACTTGATTGATCCATTCCCCTATTCATGGGCACTTACATGGCTTCCAGTTTGGGACCACAGCCAACAGTGCACAATGAACATTCCTGTACCCGGGTCCTTATACACATGTGCAATCAGCTCTCCAAGGTACAGACAAGAGGCTGGCAAACTACAGCCACAGCCAAATCCAGCCCCATTCACTTACGGATTGGCTATGGTTGTCTTCTCACTATATCAACGGAGATGAGTAGCTGTGACAAAGACCATCTGGCCTGCAAAGCCTAAAATATTTACTATCTGGCCCTTTACATAAAAAGTTTGCTGACTCCGATACAGACCAAAACCAAGTACTAAGTGAAAGACAGGCATTTTGGAGTCTATCAATGACTGTCAGATTGTTTCTCAAACTGCCAGTAAGCACTGCGATGAGAGAAGCTGGGGGGTCTCTCTCCCCGAAGGAAGATAGTAAGTTCCTTCATACTACTTTCTCTTTACGCTACTCCTGGAAGCTTGGCCATCGTTTGCCCACAGCAAGACGTCAATTCCTCTACCCCCATTGGAGGAAAGACCTCTTCAACCAAAACATAGGATCTTATTTTGAAGATCTCCCTCAGCACGTAGAAAACAAAAGGGCAGGTCAGGGGACTGCCTTCTCCAATCCACACTTGAGTTTGACCTCTAAATGGCAGGCTCCTACAGCCCCCTTTCTGCTCGTGGCGGGACACCTCTTCCTCGGGGGATTTAAAAGGAACGGTAAGCATGCACTGCAGTGCCCTGGGAGCGGGTTCCAAAAGCCCAACGGTTTTGAACGATTCTGGCATTAAACCGCGGTGTATCTGCATGAAAGCACCCTTCCCTCCTACTCACCATCCTGTGTACAGGCTCCAAGAAGATTGATGATGTTTTTGTGTTTTCCAATCATCTTCATCATCTCCATCTCTGACACCAGATCGGAAAGGTCTTTCTCTGTGGCATCATCTACAAACATTCGCAAGTTACAAATCAGTTCGTTTCCTCAAGCTCATCGGCCATCACTGTTGCTGTTGTCAGCTGCTGTCAAGTCAGCCCCGGACTCATGGCGACCCATGCACAATGGGAATGGACCACCACTGTGATCCATATGGTTTTCACTGGCTGATTGCCGGAAGTAGACCACCAGTCTTTCTTCCTAGTCTGTCTTAGTCTAGAAGCCTCAATGAAACCTGTTCAGCATGATAGCAACACACAAGCCTCCAGTGAGGGACGAGCAGTGGTTGTGCAGGAGACACACTGGCCGGGAATCGAACCCAGGTCTCCCAGGTGGAAGGCAAGAATTCTACCACTGAACCACCACTGCCTCCCTGCCATCACTTAGGAAAAAAAAAAAAAAAAAACCCACTGCTATTGAGTCGATTTCAATTCATAGTGATCCTACAGGACAGAGAAGAGCTGCCCCATAGGGTCTCTAAGGCCGCAATCTTTACAGAAGCAGACTGCCACAACTTTCTCCCGCGGAGCGGCTGGTGAGTTCAAACTGCCGACCATTCGGTTAGCAGCTGAGCACTTAACCACTGTGCCATCAGGCTCCTTCTGCCATAGCTATTAGATGCTAACAACCTGGTTGAAACGTGTGAAACTGAAGTTTAGAACCAGAAACGACTTTCCGAATTCTCCAGCCCCACCTCCTTCATTTATCAGCGAAGGGAGAAAGGTCCAACAGGAGACAGAACCGCTTCGTGTCAAACAGCTAATTTGGGGTCAGTGGGGTACAGCCAGTTCTTCTCCAGCAAATCTCAAAAATGTGAGCGTGTCTTCCCCTATCGTGAAATGGTTCCGTCCTCTGACACATCTAAGGTGCCTTAGAAAACCACAGCCGGCACAGCGCCTGAAAGCAACTCTGAAAACCTGGCAAGAGGAGGGCCAAAACGGGAGCCTTTCAAATCCCTACCCATTTCTCCACCAGGAGGGCCTGCCCCTAGCCCTCGCGGCCCTTTAAGCCTTCACGGACGGGCTCAGGGGCACCCCCTGCGACTGTGTGCAAAGCAAGTGTGTGCAGATGCATTTGGAGGGGATAGAGATCCCTGGCTTCCATTAGCTTCTCAAAGGGGCTGTGATTCCCATCCTCAGAAAAATTTTATAAACCACTGCTTTATCATTTCCAGCAGGAATGGCTTAGGTCCAACACCACGGGCTCACAGCTAGCTTCTAATAAGGCAAGACTGTTCCCCCATGCCCCTCTTCAAGCTAATTCAACACGGAAAAGACCTGGGCTTACTAAAAAAATGAACTAGGGACACAAACAGGAACCACGTTGAAAAAAAGGTATTTTTAGCTTCACAAAACCCACACTGATGGACTCAGGGGATGAGCCTCCTGCCACGCAGAGGGAGGCTCACCTGCGGATGGACCTCTCGGCATGTCCTCCTCTCTTGAGGCTCTTAGCTGCAAAACACAACATGCCACAGGGCTCTGGGGCTGAAGGCTTTCTACGTCCTAAAGGGGAAGGCCAGCCTTGGCATCACAGGACAGGCAGAACCCCCAGACCTCCCTTTCTGCAATCTGAGCACCCTAAACAAAAATCGAAAGTTCTGCCCGAAGAGAAGCAAAGCTGGGTCTCCCCGTACCACCCCTGGTATGTGGCCGGGGCCTGCCAGGGCCGGCTGGTGCTGTGCAGCAGAGCCGGGGGCACAGCCCACACCACACCTGTCACACAGGAGCAAAGGGAGAAGAGAAAAGAAAGGTCCAGGCCATGCAGGCTGGGAGCAGGAGGCTGCCTCTGTCGGTGGTGCCAAGACACCTGGGTGAGAGGGCACAGTTCTCCCTCCACCACCAGACTCCAAGATAGGGACCACCTCAAAATATCCTAGTTCTCCTTGGGACCCACCATAGCTCGGTAGCTGGAAAATCTATTCCCCTTCGGAAGGGATGGGATGACTCTCCCAGGAGAGCCCATGAAGGAAAGAACAGTGTACCTACAATGTGTTGGGTACCCTGCCTCCAGCAGACAGACCTCTCTACTGGGTATGTGGGAAAACAAGGCTTAGGGCTGGGATCTCCTTTCCTGAGGTCCCTACAACAGGATTTATGATGTGACCTTTCCCTATAACGCTTCTCGTCAAAGAATACTGCGGGAGGAATAAGTTAATGGTTAAAAGTTCTTTCAGTGCCTTGGATGTGGGCATGAAGCAGGATCGAAAGGTTAATGCAGAAACATTCAGACTCCCAAGAAAGCAACCCAACGTTTACATCTTGGGGTAACTGTTTACATGTTCCAGAAGGTTCTACACCAGCACCAATCCTGTTAGTTCCTTTTCAGCTTTCTAAGTGGCTCTCCCAAACCAGTGTCACATCTGCTGTGTTCCTCCCAGAAAAGAGACGCCGTAGCCTCTGTTCCCCTAAGCCTCCTTATTATAGTTGTTAGTTACCGCGGAGTTGACTCCAGTTCATGGCGACCTTGTGTACAACAGAACAAAACACTGCCGGTCCTGTGCCATCTCCATGATCGTAGATATCGGTCAGTCCATTTTCGAGGCTATCTGTGTCAATCCATCTCATTGAGGGTTTTCCTCGTTTTCGCTGACCCTGTACTTTACCAAACATGACGTCCTTTTCTAGTGATTGGTCTTTCCTGATGACATGCCCAAAGTACGCAAGACAAGGTCTCACTGTCCTCACTTCTAAGGAACATTCCGGCTGTATATCTTCTAAGACCGCAAGCCTCCTTGCTCCCTCCAAAAACGCCGATTTTCCAATTTAGAGAATTAAGTAAATCCAACATGCCAATCCCCATCTACACTAACCAATTCTATGTGAGTTACCTTTCTGAGCACGTTAAGAATACGGAGGGAATGAAGAATCACAGTCGTCTACCAGGAGTCAACACCGCACAATCTAGAAGGCTACCACTTTCTAACAAAACTGGCTTTCTTTCCTTTAAGTACACACAGTTCAAGATAAATAGTCTGTCCAAGACGCTGATTTATTCTGAAAACTTCTCAACCTTGAGGTCAACTATGTGCTCTCTGACCCCCTGCCATGATAAAGTTCAAATGCCAGAAGAGGAACATTCTCGATAAGATATTCCACCCTTTCCCCACCCCCACTTACCTTTCAACATCTTCACGGCCACAGTGACTGCTTCCTTGGGCTTCTCTTTGTCGATTCCCACTGCTTCAGCCATGACAACTTGCCCAAAACAGCCTTCCCCCAGGGGTTTGCCCAGCGTCAGCCTAAACGTGTAAATAGGGGATTAGCACACAGCATCTGGTGGAGGGGTGTAGTGAGCGAAATTCCAGAACTAAATATAAAAATCTTTCAGCAGCTTGCTGAAGCACCGCGCGTTTATCATATGGAACTAATGAGACTTGAGGTCCACACGCGCGTGAGTATTTTCTTAGTGACGTTTTAGAGAATGTCAATTACTGGTGGAACAGCTATTAAATTTCACATAGGTATTTTCAATTTATTTTCTTTATAGAAGGCATCCTTGCTAGTGAGGTGGTCAGCTTTCCCAAATGTCAACAATAAGGAGTTTTGATCTGTGCCAATGAAATATGCATAATTTAGAACGTCTCAAAAGAGAAAAGTTAAAGCAATTCTTATTTTTCATCCCTGAGAACTGGCAGCTTTAAAATCACTATTATTCAAATATTGGTGGATTTTACAGTCACATTCTTTGCCAAGCGACATGATATGAATCTTAAACACATTTTCCAGGAACCTCTAATTTTTCACTAAAGAAAAAACAAAATACTGGAAAATAGGAGGTAATATTTTTGTGAAATGATGTTTCAGAAATCCTATGACAATCCAAAATTAATAATGAAGAAAGCCCAAACCGAACCCAACAAGCATCCTGAATTTCCAAGCTCGGAAATTCTATTCACGTCATACTAATAGCCATATATTGTCCTAAGGCATTCCAGAACACCGACAGAATGGAGACGTTTTTGAAATACTTATGAATGCGGTTTTGTAACCTAAGCATAACACAGCCCAGTATTGAGCTACCATCAGTAAATAGTATTTACAGTAAGTATACACGGGTTTGAAAAGGTTCAACATTAAGACAGAGGGCAGCATATGCTATGCTAAGGTCATTCCGTTTCTATCCAGAACTAAAATTAAATTTAACATCTTGGCAGAAAATAAACATTTGCATTGGAAAAATGGCTAATTTATGTCCTATTGCCCTGCTATAGACGCATAACAATCCTTTCTTTGTATTAACTTTTGCCCCCAATCTAATAAACTGCTTCTAAATAGCCTTCATTCATTGGAAACCTGCTCCACCTACATTTGTGCTAAACACTGTTTTGAAATGTTTAGCACTCAGATTTTCCACACTCAGGGAACCCCTCCAGTGGGAGCTAATGGTTCAGCACACACAGACGCCCACTGTTGACTGAGGTGTCACAGGTGGCAAAAGCTACACGCTGAACCTGGGAACAGCAACAACTCCCCAGTTCAGCCATATATACGTAGGAATGCACAAATGAGCTGGCCTGCTTGTATAATCACCCAAAACTAGGGAACTGGCAGGGCTCATGAGAAACACTCCTTTCTTCTCTCCACTTTTCTACAGGTAAAGAAACGATTCTTTGTGTTTTCTCCGAGGCCTCACCAGTAAGTGCCCAATAAACACGTCTTCAACGAATGGATGGATGGATGGATGGATGGATGGATGGATGGATGGATGGATGGATGGATGGATGGATGGATAGATGGATGGATGGTCTTTTCACTACAGTACACAAATAAACTGAAAATTACTTCAATTAATGCTTTAACTGAATGAGACCTGGACAATGACTCGATTCTAGCTTATAGTGTATGTTCAACACTGGTGCAGTGTATCTGGGTGCGGTGCATACGGGTGCAGCATTGTGTGAAGCAAAATTGCAAGGGCCATGTAAGCTACCTGTCCTCCCAAAAAGAGTTGACCCTATCCAGTGTCTGGGAAAGCTTATCTTTTATTTCCAAACTTGTATATGAGCTCCTTCTATAGTTACCCACATACTTCTCTGAAATCCATTACCCATTGCCTTGAAGTCGATTCCTCCTCATAGCAACCCTATAGGCCAGAGTAGAACTGCCCCATAGAGTTTCCAAGGAGCAGCTGGTGGCTTCAGACTGCTGACCTTTTGGTTAGCAGCCGTAGCTCCCATAGCTCTTAGCCACTACGCCACCAGGACTCCTAACTTCTGAGAGATATTGCAAATGTCAAAGCAAAGAGGGTAGCTGTATACAAAAGTAAGAGTTTCTTCCAGTTTATAGGGTGCAGAAATACAGTCAGTATTTCCACACTCCATTACTCTAAGACATCTGGACTCTAATTCCTAGAAGAGGTACCCCAGAAGTGAGCGGTGAGCCCTTCAATGACTGTCCCACTTCCTCTCGGGACGTGGGTCTAGGGGGTGCTCCCTGCCTAGAGAATGGTTGGCTCGTAGCCAAGATCTGCTCACTGCCTCTGTGACCAGCACAACCATCTCCCTGGGGCCTGCAGTCCAGAGCTCCCAGGTTACCAATGCGTGACATAAAGGGAAAGGAAAATGTACAGGAGCCAAGAAGTGTGCTCGGTCCTGGGAGGTACAATGATCCTTGATTTATAGGACTGAAGACAGAGAATCATGTGACTCACCCAAGGCTGCCCAGCCACCGGCTGGCAGAGCCAGGATTCAAATCAACGTGACGGAGCCGAAAGTATGCAGGCTTCAAGCTGGACCCAGAGATCCACAAGCCCACACCAACGCTTCCCGCAGAGCTCAGGCAGCCGCACTCAGGCTGAACACCTGATTGTAACACCTCTGTATCATCCGATAAGGAAAATATTACGGACCACTGGAAATGAGGTGTCAGGTGCCAATTTGAAGATTCACAGCCTGATACTACATTGATAACCTTTGAAAACAGCAACACTGGGGAATGTTTCGCTAGGCAATTTATTCCCTACACCTAATTTCTCCACAGAAATGAACTACAGAATACTCATGTTCTAGTAACCAAGAGTTGGAATGTCAGGTCTGTTTTACAAATTGGATAACTCCAAGTTTATTCCACTTGACTTAGTTTGAATGGTCTAGAAATGACAAAAATGCTAGCCAGATAGCATCCTCTTTGGGGACCAGCCGTGGCTCCGCAGCTCTCCTTTAAGAAAGTTATCAAAACAAAAAAGGAATCAATTCTTCCATTTTTCAGGAGTTGGTTATTTAGAAACACAGTCTCACTCACTCCTGTTGACATTGTCCAAGCAAAACCTTTGCAAAGGTCATAAAAAGAAAATGTCAATCCAATATACCCATGTATATCTAAGTCTCCACTCGGAGATGTTACCAGTAGAAGTACTCACTTATCTCTTGGAAACTCCCATTTTGGATCCTCCGGCAATTCGTACTCAGAGACCCCTGCCAACATGGGGGTGTCCGCTGTTGAGGAGAGGCGTGTTGTTATCCTCACCAGTGGGGTGTTGGAGTTCATGGAGGAGCTGGACTCGGCGGAAACCTGGATACAAAATGCAAAGATGCAGATGTAATCCTGGCTCCACCTCTGAAGGCTGGAAACCTACCGGAGCCCAGCCAGAGTCTCCATAATGAGAAGGGAAGCAGGGTGGGGGCCAGTCAGAGCCATGAACTTGGACCAAAATGAAAAATCACTGGATTCCAAACCCTCTGTCCTTCCCTCCTACGAAGTAGCAGATTCAAATTATACGGTCCTATGGTCAGGTTTTCAAACAAAATTTTTATATCGTTTTTGATCAAAATCTCATTCTTCTTCCTGTCCTAATTCCTCAAGACTGTCACTTGAGGACATGTGGACAGACCTCAGTGGTGTCATTATTGCCTTTTTACCTGTACACAAATGATATTCTGCCCTTAGATCCACTCAGATCACTGATCAATGCCATGCTTATGAAATTTGATGAAAATTTTTGGAAAATCAGCTAATACTCCGTTTGTCTTTTCAAATTAAAGCAGAATATCTCAAGATCTAGGGTTTGAATGTAAAAGACAGGTAGGAGCTGTTCCATTTTTCCCCAAGTCCTTTTATGTATGGCAACCTGAGACCCAAATACTGGGAGCCATTCTCCGATTAATGACATCAAACGCTTCCAACCCAAAACACAACTCTTGCTCTTCTCCCCAGCCCTTCTGGGAACTTGTGGCTGTTCATGCTGGGAGGTGAAAATGCACCACCACTTGTCAACTCCAGTTTCAAAAACCAGTGGATGGAAGCGGGACAAAGAGTTAAGGGAAAGAAACATACACCTTTATTCAGTCACACAGGAGAGTTCCTGCCCCACCTGGCAGCATGCAGGGCTTCACCAAGTTATTTCCTTGTTTTCCCTGACCCATGAGGCTCTGTATCCAATAAATTGGTTATTTCTTAAATATAACATCTTCCCTTTTCTAGTGTCTGTGGATGGAAACCACATGAGAGCCCGCCTGAAGGCCACTTCTGAGGATTGCTATGCAACCTCGGTCAGATCGCAGGCTGCTAAGCCATGAACAAGGAAGTTAGAATATGAGGTCAATATGACCCATCAAAGCAGCTCACCAGCCCACCTTTGGTTCTGTCCACACCAACTGCCCAGCTCATAAGTACTTCCCAGCTATGCCTACAAACACCTTTTAATCAAGGTGCCTCAGAACAAGTCCAGATGAACAAACTTAGTTGAGATGAACTTGACCCGGGAGAACCTGGACTAAGGGGAATCAGATGACCTGTGTTTCTCTGGATACCTCTTATTTGGTAAACCTGGATTCTCTCCTTTCTAAACTCAGACTGCCCTTAACATGGGTAGGAAACCTGAAAAGACGTCTGTTATGGGTTGAAATGTGTCCCCAGAAAAGAAATGTTGAAATCCTAACCCCCACTACCTCTGAATGTGATCTTATTTGGAAACAGGGTCCTTGAAAATGTAATCAAGCTAAGATGAGATCATTAGGGTGGGCACTAATTCAATAGGACTGGTGTCTTTACAAGAAGGAAAAAGAGACAGAGAGACACACAGGGAGAACGCCATGTGGCAATGACGGAGACAGAGATTGGAGTGATGCACCTACAAGCCAAGGAACGCCAAGGTTTGCTGGCAATACCCGATGCTAAGAGAAAGGGATGGAAGCTTCAGAGAGCATGGCCCTGCCAACACCTTGATTTCAGACTTCCAGCCCCCAGCACTGTGAGACAGCAAGCTGGTTTTGGTTTAAGCCACCCAGCTGGTGGCAATTTGTTATAGCTGCCCTAGGACACGAATAAAGTATCTAAGAATGAACTGGAAATTTTTTTTTTTTTTTTTAGGAATAGGAAGTTGGTTTCAGTATTAGAATCAAGAGGCAGGCAATTTTTAACAGAAGTTCTATTACCTTTTTAAATGTATATAAATACATTTCTGAGCCTTCTGAGCAGTCTAGGCAGACAAAATGGTTTCTAAATTTTATTATACAGATATAGGGATGTTTATTCATTGTGAGTATAGTAAATTTGAAAAAAGGAAATGAAGAATCGCTAATTTTGGAGCTGAGAGGGCTCTCCCTGGACAGATTAGGCTCCGAGAGGCTGACGGTCCACACCCAAAGGTCCGAGTCATGTGGGCAAATGGAGAAGCAAGGAGAAAAAGACAAGAAGGCAAATGTGTGAACTCATGTAGGGGATACCACCCCACCAATGATGATAAGGACCAGGCAGGAATCCCCTGAGGCAAAACAGACACCAATCTCAAAGTCCCCACCATAGACTCCACGTGCTGTCCAACCTCATTGTCAGGACACATCAAAGACCAGGGACTTCCAGATAGCATCTTCAAGATCTCCATGGTTTGCACTGGCCATGTACACACCCTGAGCTCCATCGCAGAGGAGACTGGAAAGACTCCGAGATGGGTCTGACCGAAGACGCCTCCCCAAATCCTAATGCCCACCTAGCTCCTGCATCAGGGCCATGAGCTGTGGATGCAAAAGGACTCTGGGAAGTTGGTGTTGTCAAAGACGGAAGGGTCTTCTGGGAAGTTCTTCTACGTGAACAGGCAAAAATCACCAGTAATCACAGCGGGAGCCTGTGCTTGAAGATGATAAACGAGAAGACTCAGCCAAGGAGTAAAGATGGACCTAGCAGTGTGGTGAAGCAGTCCAGGCCCAACATGGCTGAGACCAGGCAGATTCCACACCCCGGACTCCTTCTGTATGCCAGCAGCATAGCCCATAATCGCTGGGCCGGCAGTTTGCAGAATTCCACCACTAGGGTGCATGGTGTACTGGGATCGACGAAGACCAGGAGAAATGGAATGGAATATCACTGGGAGGAAGAGTTCTGGGTGAGGTTAACAACCAGAAAGCAGAGGTCTCTCCAAGCTTCTGTGCCTTGTCCCTGCAAACCCACTGCTCTCATCAATGAGCTTACAGAATACGATAGGAGCAAGCAGCCCTCCCCAGTGAGAACACAGACCTTTTTAAAAAAAGTGTCTGGAAGGATATATAAAAGACTTAGCAGCAGTTACCTTTGCGGAGAGAGACTAGGGGTTAGGGAAGGGGAAAGAAAATACCTCTTATTTCAGAACTTTCAAGACCATTTGAATTTTATTGCTATGTATATGTATTCCTTATGTTTTTGAAAAAGTACTTTCTTTAAAAACAGCAATATCTTTTAAGATAATAAGGCTGTGAATGGAGGCATGTCATGGGTGAAGAAAAAAGAGGGTCTTATGTCTTATTAGACATAAAATATACTGATTTCTAAAATGAGTTTAAAACTACAAGACTGTTTGCTTTTGTCCCTCCTTCTGCTATCAGGCTGCGTTTTCTGGCATCTCTGCATCATCTGACTTGGGTGCACCTATGCCTAAAACCAGCTGCCATCCAGTCCCTTCTGACCCACGGCAACCCAACGTGTGTTAGAGTAGAACTGTGTTCCATAGGGGTTTCCATGGCTGAGTTTTCAGAAGTAGATCACCAGGCCTTTCTTCCAAGACACCTCTGGGTGGACTCAAACCACCAATCTTTCAGTTAGCAGCCAAGTGTGTTAAGCATTTGCACCACCCAGGGACTCCCAAATATGACTTAACAAAACAAAACAAAAAACAAAAAAAAAAACACCTGTTGCCGTCGAGCCCCTTACCAACCCAAAGCAACCCCAGAGGACAAAGCAGAACTGCCCCATAGTTTCCAAGGAGTGACTGGTGGATTTGAACTGCTGACCTTTTGGTTAGCAGCCATATCACTTAATTACTGTGCCAATGGGGCTCCAGATATGGGTTATTTAAGAACAGAAAAACTTAATACTCAGCCTAAAGTTAACTGCTCTGCAGCTAACCTATGACCCGAAAGGAATCTTTACCCACAAACCTTGGACAAAGGCTCCCACACACCTTCCCCCCAGAGTATTCCAACAAAGTTATAACGTGGATGCTTTTAAAGTGGAAACTCTTTACAAACTTTGTTGTTATTAAAAATAATAGTATTTACAAAAAGGATTACTTTTGGAAATTCTGCTCAGATTAAAGGCAGAGACTCAGATTAAATGTACAAATCTGGAAAACACTTTTGTAGAAACACAAAGGGAAAAATGTAAGAAAATGCCAAAAGTATAAGAAACTACCTAATTCTATCGTTCTGTCTACTGAGGTACAGCTTAATTTTACCTCCATGCATTTTTACTATGCTTTTAAAATCCTCTCTGGAACCATAAAACATGACTGGCTTTCTCATCACTTCATTTTACTCTGAGCACTAATGTTCTGCAGCCTGATACTACGCCTTGCAGGCTATCTCCCCACAAAATGCCACAATTCACCCAAGCCCCTTCCTCGATACCATGCCCCTCCAGAAACTCCCACGGCCAATCTACGAGATCCTTCTGATTTAAATTGCTGCTTTCTTCCCTTTTGTACAAAGCCATCATCTTCCCTATTAGATATCCTTCTTCAATTCTGGGTTTTCCTTTTTTTACTTATTTGAAAATATTCCAATGATTGCGATACATAAGTTATTTATAAACACTAAATGCTAATGCTCTAATAAACTGTTTTCCTACTCTCAAATCCTAGCAGGCTTTTTTTTTTAAAAAAAAAAAAGGCACTTATTTTCAGTCTCTAATTCAGCTTTCCCACTCTCTGGAATCTCTTTACCATGTACCATAAATCAAGCTTTTAACTAAATGTGCTTTCGTGTATTTCCACGGTGCATACGGGAGATTAAGAAAGGAAGTGTTTCCCCCGCTTTCTTTTTAAAGGGCCACCAAGAAATAGTGTTATCTCTTTACATCAGATTAGATTTCTAAATCGAGAGGAGGCTTCGCAGAGAACAGAGCAGGCAGAAGCAAAGACGCCTCAGAGGAGCAGTGATTACTATTTATATGTTTATTCCTGTGCACTGGACCACAGTTTAACAAAGAAACTCTCTATTAGTTAGGCTGTGGGTCAAGTTCCTAGTCCAAAGCAGAAAATAAGGCACTGGAGTTAAGGTACTTCTGCTGTAAGCCCTGCCCCCTGCTCCTCTAGGGCCAAACAA